TAGCACTAGGTCCAGATCTTTACAACTTGACATGTAGGTTTGAAATATCAGCATTTACTCATCTTCCCCTTGTGGTTTAGGTGCTAATCATATCATATCAAGCCAAAGCAAGAAAAGCAAACAGTTCTGTGTTTTTACATACTCTAAGTTGTCTTTTTTAATGCATAGAATATGAATTGTATATATGTGCAAGCTAAGATAAAAATGATCTGTGTCATTTCTATATTTAAAATAGCTGGCCAGCTGGTTCTTGCTAAATGTTCTACAAGTGTTTTGCTGCACTTCAGATCTGTTGCCATAGTGGCTGATGATGTCAAAGCAGAGGCATTGGAACACCCACCTCTTTTAACGGAAAAGACTGGATGGAAAAAAGTGTTCGGTTTCCCAGAGCAAATCAACAAGAGCAGAGCAGGCCCCGGCCTTGGGCAGAAAATCTACTTAATAAATGAACCCACTTGTTTTCTCTGGTCTCTAGGTTAGGCCGCTACTGGATGACACACAAACACACACACTCTGCTGTTTGTACTGAAAAAGGGGAGACAATACTTGAAAGGACTATTTCTCTTATCTAAAACTCTGATCCTTTAACGGTTCAAAGAAATCTTTGTTGGTTAATAGATAACATGAGAGCTGTTCAGTCAGATGGAGAGCTTAGAAGACAATGAGGAGAAAAAAAAAGCTGCTTCCAAAGTATTTGCTCGCCCTCTTGTACCATTAGGTCATGCTGTTTTGTATCTGAAAATAAACTCAGTGGCTTCGTAGTTCCAATATTTGCAGAACTATACTAAATGGTGCTTGCAAAAGTATTCCCCTTTAAACCTTTCTACTTTTTGTTCTGTTTCAGGTAAATAATGCATTGCTTTCAATCTAAAGATTTGGTTTTCAGCTCAGATTAGATCTGGACTTTGATTGGACCTTGAATATAAATAAACAAGAAGAAGCATTCTTCATGGCTTTAGCTTTTTATACTGCAGGAACATAAACATCTAACACAGTCTACAGGGTTTCTTCCTGTATTGCTCTGTATTTACCGCTATTAATCTTATTCATTCTTACTAAATTTCCCTACCCTTCAAAAGAAAAGGGTATCTACCGCGTGATGCTTCCACCAATCTTAGAACATCTTCTTCCCTGTTTCCTGCATCTCCTTAGGTCTTCTCCTACAGTGGTACCATGTGCCTCTCAGCTGCTTCTCTGATTGATATTGTCTTTGCTTCAATCATCCATCAGCTGGATGGTCATGTCTCATCAGGTTTTGCGTGGTATCATTTTTTTTTTCTCCATCCAAATATGATGGGTTGAACATGACTCACTCCTTTTATTTCATAAGACTGCATTAAACATCTGCACAGCTTTACCGAACTGACCAGACTACTGTGTTACTTGCTCTCTTAGTGATTCTTTTTGTTCACTAATGCTCTTTAACAAACTTCTTAGGCCTTTACCTCAAAGATGAAGAAAATAATAATATACTACTGTCACACCAACGGACAAAAAGCACGACGAAAACATCAAAAAACCTCTTTTATTCACTGCCATAAACAAAACAAATCTCCAGGCGGACCTGCAGGGGGCAAATCATTTGCATTTTGCAACATCACCAGCAAAGCACTTCAACCGACTTCCTGTCAAGAGGAGGAACTTTCTGTTAGACGGCCATCTTGGAAATCAGTTCAATACATCCTGTGGAGGACAAAGGAGGAAAGAAAAAAACGCAACTGGTAGGAGATTTGACTTTCTTGAATTACTCACCTGTTGTTGAGGAAGTGGAAAGGATGAACTTGTGCTTAACTATGTGCTTCACATGTGCACATGTAAAATGTTTTGTCTCAGTTGGCATCTGACTTAGTTTATTTTAATGTTAGTGGCTTTCAGTTAATTATTTTCACTTTGCCTAGTTTGAAGTCTGAAGTTTATGTTAAGCTTGATAATGAGCTTATTGTTTAAATTAGTGACTCAAACCAGTCCAATTGTTTGGAACAGCAAACCTGATGGCTTTACTGGACTTGTGCTTTTGTGTGACACTCCACTATTTGGATATCCTATTTACTTCTGAAGTTAAATGTTAAACAATATATGTTTGTTTATGTGAGATTAATGCTAAAACTTAAAGTTTTATTGGCACTTATGTTGACTTAATGCTAAGGCATTGCTAGTTTGGTTGCATTCAAAGTTAGATGTAATTAGTGATAAATTAGTACTTACTTTATGGATCTTTATTTTTAGATTTTAATGATTTGTGTTTGTTTAAACTTGAAATAACGCAATATCTCCTGTTACTCCTGTGTTCAAGGTTTTCAACCTGAATGACTGAATGACCACTTCACCAATCAAATCAAGAAAAAAAATTTCAATAAAAAACAAAAAGGGAAAATCATTATTTTGAGTTGTTCCTTGCCGACTAGGCTATTTCAAGTGGAGCAATACTGAGGGAAAAATCAAAATCACATCAAAAACTTGACAACAACACACTCTTTATTTAAATATAAAATTAGAAAAAAAGGAGAACATAAAAAAAAAAACCTTGAATCCTTTTAATCCCATAAATTTCCCCAAAGGTGGACATTTCTCATAGAAGAGTGAAAATGTTCCAGTGGCATGAAAAGGTTTGTAAGGCAGAGCAAAATCAGATAGGAACCATGAGGATGATGTGGCTCTTTGCAGGGCTTAAGACCTAAAATCAAGCCATGACACCGGATGGAACATTTCCTCCACAAATATGCTTAACGACTAAACATGATGAATCTTTCAGTTAACTACAGCTTGAACTTTCCCTCAATTCATCTAAAATCCTCATTATGAGAACATAAAACACAGTAAGTGAAAAAGACCCCCCTCTTGGATTAAGGCTTTCAAACATCAAGTGCGCCCTGGCAGCTGTGAAATGGCCCCTACAGACACCCTGGATTTCTCCCATCAGCCTCCACTCATGTTTTTCTCCGTGCATCCAGTCACTTGGTCAGGTTCTAAATATGACCAACGGAGAGTTCATGTTGCTGCTGCCGCACAGCCAAATTTGGCCCCAGACGCTTCACATGAATCAGCTAAAGCAACAGTCACTAATTCCAGCAGGCCTGGATCAGTTTATTAAAGGTCTTGTTGGATGGAGCACTTGTTTTCTGCAGTCTAACCACTTTCCTCAGTCTCGTGTGACTCAGATGCAAGAGTTAGAAAGCTTCCCACACCCTGTCTTATGTTAAGTACTCGGGCACATCCTACATCCCTGTCACATTTATACACTGTAATTACACAGAGGACTACATATGGGTCACACGCTGGCTGATAAAGACTAATTAGTATGGAGTTTTACGGATATGAGTTATTACTTCAGTTTTTAATTTTAGAAGGAGATAAGCAGCAGTTGGTTTGGGAAGTAAATGTTTTCCTCCCAAACACTGGGTCTCCATGAGCATCTTTTAGTGGCTTTTTAAGATCTGCCAGTTCTTGATTTTATTTAGCTCATCAAAACACATTAAGATCTTATCATTTTAGCCCATAAGCATTTTTAAAATTATGATGAAACAAAGCTGCCAGGCTTAATTAGTCTACTTTTTTAATCACCTCTCTTGCTCAGTAGATATTTTTAAGAAGGTGCCTGTTCATGCTTCACTACAGGGCCGGTCCAAGGCATAAGAAAACTAAGCAACTGCCCTAGGCAACTAGAGGGCCTCCAAAAACAATACTTTTTTAATGATTATTTTATTTAAATCAATAAATATAGATGCACTAACAAAAAGCTCAGTTTTGTAATATAATTATTAGTTATCTACATTAAAATATCTGTAAGCATGTAATAATCATTACTATTTGGAAAACAATATATATCTATATTAACATTAGATGATGCGTAGAAATGGGAGAATGTACATAGCCCTGAGATGCAAAAAATGTTTATGTAAATTTGAGAAAAAACTGATCATCTGACTGTCGACTGCAGAAATAGATATAATTGGCAGAAATAGAGGGCCGTAAAAACAAACTGTGCTTTGGGCCCCATTGATGCTTGGGCTGGCCCTGCTTCACTGTTTGACAAAATATTCAGATTGCTGTTTTTTTGGGTGGCTGTTAACAAGAGTATGATGCAGTGGCTACTTGTATAATTATGCTACATTATTTGAATCAATTTTTTACCCTTCTATAACGTTCAGTTTGAATTTCAGCGTGTCTTTGTCTCTCCAGTATTTCTGAATGAGTTTATGCAATTTGGCTGGCTTGTAAAGTGAAAACTGAATGGATTACCTACATCGGAAATTAGAGATTAAGCACCAAAATGTTATTTTAAAATGCCAATTATTTTGACATCAGTCTAACTGATCCCCAATGTTTCCTGGCAGTTTGTTTTGGGAGGAGACGATTTTTTTTTAGACCAATGCTGCTTTCATTTTCATAATAAAATGTAAAAATGAAAATAATATAATAGGTGGCAGAATTGGAAAAAATGTATAAATTTTTTCATATGAAAATGCATGTATAAGTAGGAAAAGATATATAGAGTATAAACATTTCTGCTTTGATTTTTGGTTATGTCAGTTTGGGTCCCCTAGAGTAAAGCAGCCGAAAATATTGGTTGATTAATGATCAGTCTATTTTTTAACAAAAATACCCCCCTTCTTCAACATTACTACCAATTGGGCACCTTTTAAAACTTTCTGTTGGCGCCTCTGTTCAATATCCAGTGTTTCTGGTGCTTGGTTTGACTAGAGGCCTCATCTTTTCCATCACTTATCAGGATTCCTTTACAACCAATAGCTCTGATCTGAAAAGCTAAGGATAAGTGAGAGATAAAACCAAAAACAAAGATTGGGATCCATTGTTCATTTGGGACATAATCTTTCCCTCTATACTTTGACCAGCTGTAATGTAGGTGGGTTAGTGGATCTGAAGTTACTTTTTTTTTCTTTCCAGGGAATCACAAACTCCTCCTCCTTTTCCAAACTTTGCTTTGGGAACTCCCTGCGTGTCGGGGTGATTAGGTGAGCAGAGTGGGCGTGCGTCTGGAGTGGATCTGAGAGAGTGAAGGCGAGAGGACGCGGCAGAGGAGCGCTAATGAGATCCTGCGCGGTCAAAGAGATGCATATTTAACTCTCAGCTGTTCAGGATTCATATTCGGTTTAGTCATAAAGCAACGTTGGACTGTATTTCACCCAAACTTTAGAGGATTTTTTTTACTTTGGTAACAATGGTCTCCAAGCGGCTACGCGTAAAGACGCCGCGGACAGCTGGCTTCTTCCTCCGCTCGTCCGTGTGCATCATCGGGCTGTTGGCCACTTTCTCTCGGCCTGTCTGCGAGGCGTTCAACCTGGACTTGGAGAACCCAGCTGTTTATAGCGGACCAGAAGGGAGCTACTTCGGATATGCTGTTGACTTTTATTTGTCTGAATCCTCCAGGTGAGTTGCTTGCAAATAATAAAAAAAGTTTACAATCTAACGTTGCGGTAAAGTTAAAGACAGCATCCCCCTCAGCTGGACTGGCTTTATAAATGCAAATATTTGCGCGTAATCAGTGCGCGTAATAAAGATCAACTTTATCATAGGAAACAATGTCAGATTTATCCAGTCTTACTTTCCAGCTGTGCTCTTATGGACACGTTTTACTCCTACCCACACTCTCCCCATGATTACAACTAATTTAATATCTCCAGGACATCAAGCTAGTGATCAGATTGAATAAATGTTGGAAAACAAAACAGACATTTACAGTATGAATGAGAGGTCAAGTGGGAAAAAAGATTCTGAAAGAGGAATAATTTATTTATATTTTTTTAATTAAATCTAATCTTATTATCCAACAGAGTGAGCTCTGTTTCTAACATTTTATCATAATGACGTTCAGTAATCCAGTTTCCTTTGTAAGAAATGCTCCTCCTTTCTCAGAGGAGATGTGATCCCTGTGCCACTCAGCATGCAGTGACTGTCTCAGCATTCTTCCTGAGAGGCTTTTGGCATCCGTCCTTTTTTTTTGGAATTTCAACTTTTGCATTCATGCCTGTGGTCATATCTAATACCCCAGTGGTCTGTGGGGAGTGGAAAATCAACGGGTTTGAGGGGGGGTTGTAATTTTAGTTTGTGTCTAATCTATGCATTTGTATCACTGTTATTTTATGGCGGAGCCTTGGATGTTGTTTGAGTTGTTGTTAACAAAAGTTTCACTTAGACATGCAGACTTCCTGAGGGCTGTTTGACCAGCCGGCATGCTGGGATTTGAGAAAGGGCTTTGTGGTGTGTGGGCTGCCAGCATCAGCCTTGGTTTCCCTGTTTCCCCTCCCTTTGGACCCCAGACCCTCAGACTCCACCTCTGCATCTCCTCCACTTATCTCTGGCCTTCACTGTCTCTTTAAAAGCCTCTTCCTATTTGTCCTAATTTTTCCTCTTGGGAAACGAGGGCTTAAGGAGAAGGGTATGATTTAAGAGGTGACAGTTGTTTGCATAAACCTATCTGCCTCTCCCACACCCACCCCTCTACTCCCTCTAATGCTGATGTCATTCTGCAGGGGTTTTTAATTCATCCATCGCCCAGACCTTCCCCCACTGTCTCGCCCCTCTCCCCATCACCTCCCCTCATCACTTTAAGTCCCAGACACATGGTAGACGTCATTTTACCGATGAGTTAATCTGAACTTTTACAGCGGAGACACCTCCACGTAAATGGCCTACATCATTGTTTTCTTTTCACTGGTGTGTAGTCCTATTGCTTACATGGTTTTATTAGACTCCAATTACATGTACAAACTGGGGAGGAAACCTCTAAAGTGAGCTAAAACTTGCCAGAGGAATGACGCTACGTTAGTTGCAACAAACTTAGGCTATAAGCATAACACAGTGTCCACCGCATAAAAAAGTCTCCAGGTTATGAAGTTTATGGTAATTTTTCAAAGATGAGGAGAAAGTAAAAAGACATGATAGCAGCAGTGTGAACATCTGAACAACTGGAACCTATTGAGGTATTACAAAAGTGCCACGTGCCTGTCTGCCTGTAAAATCACCAGAAGGAGTGAATAAATGCTCATAACCAAAAATGTAACTTGACGCTTGTTCTGATTGGGATTGTTACTCTGATGGGAAAAGTCATGTGTCAACACATCCCTCCAAATAACTAACCCCATAAAACCCAACTTTTTAAAATAAATTTGTATTCATAATCAGAGTCTAGCCTCCATCAAACACCATTCTCCTTTTAGTTGGTCAGATACAAAGGTAAAAGTCTAAGATAAGCTGATTATTATGGCTAAACATGCAAGGTTTGGAAAGCGCAGTTATTACATGAATCTAATAAGAATCTAATCAGAATTGGTTGAGATGTGACGGACTAATCATTACATTACAAAAACTGATTAAAAAAAGACATTTCTTGCCTGCTAAACAAAACCTAAAGTCACTCTCACTGGTCTGGCTGTTGGCTGCCTGCCTGAACTGTGTCCCTACCCCTCAGGTTAGTGTTGTTCCTTCCCTCGATTACAAGATCTGAACTGCTTTATAATCCTGAAACAAAGCGTTTTTCCTCTGGAGGGAATGCTTTTTTTGCTCTTGACCTGTTTACATTGTTCTCCCATTTTTATCTGCATTTGTAACTTTTCCAGCAAGAGAGCTCACTGATGTACTTTATGCGTGGTGACAAAAAATGGTATTTATAAGGTTATTATAAGGCATTTCCTTGGTTCAAATGGATGTTTATTTTGCTTTAAAATATGAACAGAAATGTACTCTAAGGACTCTAGACAGTGTTTTCTATGTTCAAAGCAGGATTAATGTTCTAATGGACAGAAATTTCCTACAGCTCATTGCTCTGTAATTTTTCTTTCAGTAATATGTATTACTGTCAAACGTCAAACAAAAAAAGACTCAGAAGGCAGGCTTAAATCGGTGACTCATTCCTTTTTCTGCGAACCACACGTATCTGCCACCTTTCATCCACAGTTTTTGAGGATTTATTCATCACACCATATCAGACATGAAGCTTGTTTTATCTCATCTCTCACCAACTCATCATCCACAACTGCGTTTTGGAGACACGAGGAGTGGGGGAGTAGCTGGGAACCCACTGAGGTCAGTTCAGGGTTGTAGAGAAAGCTTCTTGTCAGGGTTTCTGCTATACGCCCAGTACCAGCCGCCAGGATGACATCTTTATGCCTTTACATAAAAAACAACCCACATTTATTTCAAGTCGGACCGTCACAGATATTGCTACTATAAACAAAAGGCTTTGCAAAGAACCTTTCTGTTGACATAGTTTTAAAAACTTTTTTTTACAATACTCATTTGTTGTTGTCTTCTCCTTAGAAAGACAAAGAAGAAAAAATAACAATGTTGAGCTGTTAAGATTTGACTTCTTTGTGCGTTCAGATTTCTGAAAAAAACAAAACAAAACATGAAACTTCCAAGTTGGAAAAAATAGATGGGAAGTTCCCAATATCAACATTTCCGATGAGAAATTTCCAATTCTGACCTCAAAATCCAACATGATTACCAACTTCAAAAAACGTTAAGATGGCTACTGTAACAAACAATTTCTTTTCACTTTCTGCAGTTTTCTATCTTTATCTAAAACTTTTATACACACATGATGATCAGTGTAAACTAATGCATTGTTACTCTACGCTGCTAATGGTAGTTAGCTTGTCCTTGAATAAAACCACTTTTATTTCCTGTTTTGTTTACAAATATGCAAAAGGAAATGGATTAAGGCCTGACCTACTCAATGTTTCAGTGTGTCCTACAAACAAGTGAAACATTGGTAAAACCGACGATATTTAAAGCCTTCAGAGTTCCAGTTTAATTTCAAAAGTTATTCTGTGTATTTAGTTTTATTAACCAATTTCATTGGGCTCCTCTACAGACTTTTTGTGGACCGCCATGTCTTCTGTCTAACCACCTCTTTTCTCACCCTCAGATTTATAGTTCGCCCTTTAATCTTCCTTCTCTTTTTACTTCATTAACTTGTGTGACAGAGTCATCTTTCCCCTTACTGGGGTTGCATTAATATTACATCATCCTGCAACTTTGTCCGGTTTCACCTTTAAACCTTTCTGCATGAATCCCATCTCCTGCATTGTGTTGCTGTAGCCTCAGTTGGATTTGGTATCATTGCTAGATCCATGCTTAAATTTCTAATCTAAATCCAAACAGATTTTTCCACTGAACCTTTGTGTCATTTCTGTTTGCAGAATATCAGTATTATCCTGATTATTAACAACTCTTACTTTTGCTTATTAATACGCTTTTTATACATTTATTTAGTGGAGGTTTAAAAAGGTTTAAGGAAGAATTTCTTTTGAGTACTACTAAAGACAATCCAGGCAGGAGCAATTTTTCTAACTGACATTACAAAGTTTTTCTTAGAGACAGACCAGTATTGAACGCAGGTGTGAGGACAGAGCAAGATAGAAAGAAAACCCTTTTCCTGTGCCTAGATGCTCTATGAAAGGCTAGATTTATCCAGCTTGATACTTATCCTTGACAACAGGTTTATATATGAGGATCTCTCATGCCCTTAAGGCTTGGTCATAAAATTCAATTTGAACAGTCGGCCCTCCATGGTAGATCGCCGGAGGATAGCCTCTGTGGACTGTGTGGCAGGCCTCCAATGTATGCAAGGGAAAGGAGATGGGCAGATATTATCTGTGGTCTTCATTCATTTTAATCTCAGAAGAGTGAAACGTCTTCTCACAGGATTTTTTTTTTCTGTTTTCTGTTTAACAGCTGATAGTCAGAGTGTTGTACCTGGTTCCACTGTTGCTCCTGAGCCAAGCAGTGATAAAGAATTGGGCTTTTAGAGAGATAGCAAAGGTCACAGGTTAAAGGCTTTGATTCATAACAGACCAAGTCTATATGGACACTTTAAGGCAAGTTCATGTGTTTTTTTTTCTAAAGTCTATTAGGTTTCAAGATAATGTGATTAGTTTAACTTGCTTCTTTTGCATTTTTCAACAATTATTTGGTACTTCTCCATGGCTGTTTTTAAACTGTAAATGAACCAGTTTGTACTTATATACTTGACCCTGTGCATATAAATCTTTTTTACATAGTAAAAAATTTAGGAGCTCTATTTTATTTATTTTTTTGGGGGGGTATTTTAGTACTGCACTGGATTTATTGGTGATCTTCATTTGCACTGTCAACTCTCAGGAAATATGATGGATTGTCAACCCAAATTGAAATGCAAAGCAAGCAAATAGATATTATTCACTAGATATTTAAAACAAAAGTTCTTTACATTTGGCTATAAGCATGTAAAAGATTTATTTATTGATTTTCTGTCATTAAAGTAAGAACTGATACATGCCCAGTCCAAAATGACGTAAGGAGATTGGTCCGTTTTGTGCCCTAACAAAATAGGCAACAAAACATCTAAAACCATAAAGACATGAAACATCAAATGTGCAAAATGACTA